TTGTGTTCCCGCGCAGCCTGGATTAATTGCTTTGGGGGGTGTTTTGGGGGTTTTATTTCTCTGCGGACCACCAGTTGGCGACCACTGGTCTATGGCACTGCCTGACGGGCCCGCGACCTCAGTGCTGCCCATCCACCATGAAGAAAGGCTCCAGTTCTTTCTAACCAAGTGCTTCACGTTAGTCTTTCCTTGCTTCTTTTCCTCTGGGGGTGGAGGGCTCAAGAAGGGGATTGGGGCAGCCCTGGTGGTATCAGGCACCTTGCAGGGCAGCCTAGGGAGTGGGGTCCTCACCCTGGCAGAAAGTGAGGGGGGGAGTCAAGAGTTTGACGGAGCTGGAGCTGCAGAAGTGCTGCTCTTCTCTCCCCCACCCTCACTTTCTGCCAGGGTGAGGACCCCCACCCCCTAGGCTTCCCCGCAAGATGCCTGATCCCACCAGGGCTGCCCCAATCGATGAACTCTGGCAAACTCTGCGCTGGGGTGACAGCGCACATGCCCACAGAGAGGGCTTGGAGTGCCCCCTCTGGCACACATGCCATAGGTTCACTACCACTGGTATAGGGTCTCCTGCCTGAGCAGGGGGTTGAACTAGAAGACCTCCAAGTTCCCTTCCAACTCTGTTGTTCTGTTCTGTTTTCTTTTCTGTTCAGGCTCATTTTCCTAGCTGTTCTGAAAGTAGTACAACCCATAATCCTGAAGTACATTGTATACATACTGTACACAATACTGCAAGAATCTGAATTTTCAAGTCCCCAGAGCTCATTTACATAGCACAGACAATGGTCTCTTCCCACCATTTGACTTGAGTGGAATCCTACTTTTAGACCCTGATTTCTGGAATCTATTCCATTGCGGTTCCTACTTCTGCCTCTCTAGGTCCCAGCCGTCGGTTTAAGCGGGTTGTGGAAACAATTCAGGCACAACTACTGAGCACACATGACCAGCCTTCTGTGCAAGCCCTTGCAGGTAGGTGTTACTGTACATCATTTTTTTGTATTCATACAAATAACTGACTGTTCCTGCTTGTTTTTGCAAGAGTTCAGTGAATTTCTAAGGCTGTGCAGAGGATTCAAAAGGACAATTTGCAAACCATGTTGGTGCAAATGGAATGCTCCTCTCTGATGTGTTTAGGCAACTGCATCATCTGGAAAGCTCACTGCAGCTGCTTTAATAGCTTTCCTGAGTTATTTTTGTGTTTGCTTGTATGTGCGATCACCTGGGGCATGGCACAGAGATAACACAGGCAGCTGGCAGTTCAAACTGCCCCTTTATTGCTCCAAATTTCCCCAAATACCTCCACATTTCTGGCAAGTCCCAGAGCAAAGTGATGACAAACACCCACACACACCTCAAGCAGCCTCTGGCTGCAACAGCGCTGTGTACACCATGGATGCACAACAATAAATCCAGCAGGGCAAATCAAGGAGTTCAGGAAGCAAAGGATCAAGGTAATCAGTCCAGAAAGCCAGAAAGAATGCAAGGAATCCAGGAAAGTTCAAACGTCAGCACTCAACACTTTAGGAGTTCAGTGTTTGTTCCCAACAAATGCCCCTCTCCATAGCGTCTCCTTAAGTCTCATTTCCCCAGGTGTGCCTTGTGAAGAGGGGCGGGGCACTCTTCTCCGGAGTAGCCTGCTCACTCTGTGTTGTTCTTGCCTTCTCTCCACTTTCCGTGCTCTCGGATCAGGAGGTGGTCCTTGCTCATCACCTGAGCTCTGTCTCTCATGTTCACTGCTTAGCTTCTCTTGGTCATCCTGCCCCTGTTCCTCCCTGCCTACAAGCTGTCCTAATCCTGGAAGGCCCTGGCCTGACTGGCCTTGCCCTTCTGCATTTTCCTCTGAAGCCAACGAAGCCACCCCTTCAATCTCTGTCAGCTTTAGTTCCAGCTCGTCTTCCCCTGCAGATGCAGGTTCTGACGGGGGCATGACAGTGTCCATACACTATTGCTTCACTTCACTTCACTTCACTGGCATCATGTTGGGTGTGTTGACTTTTCTGGGCATTTGCATGCCTCTGGGACAATCTGGGAAGATTCTTGAAGTTTAAAGATGCAAGATGCTTTACAAAATGCCTTTTGAATACTTTGCCTTAAAATATCTTATCTAGGATCACTTACCATCCTGGCGAAAAGCTATCTATGTAGTTACTAAGAGCACCAAATTGATGGTACATCATCCATTTATTCATCCATCCATCTTTAAAAGGAACATACTATGAGAGTCTACCAGTGGATGTTGATATATCTGGTATTTATGATAGTTAGATCCAAAGGACTTTGGGAAACGTGGTGGGGAAGCAAAATAGGGAAGACTGGTTGCCCGGAGAATCTGCCTATAGAAAGAACAAGAGATTTCCAGTTGATTTCTTTGGGTACTGGGATGCTGAACTGATCTTTTTCTGATCCAGCATCTTCTGCTTCTACTCTCTGGTCCTGGAATGTTTTCAGCCACAATATATATATGGAGTCTGCAAGTGTGTATTTCCTTTAACAAATGGACCTAGCTACCACTTTGAAATCAGCTGTCTTGGAATGTCAGTAGAGAACAGAAAGAAGATGAGGCCCATTCACAGTGGTGGGATTCGTAATTTAACAACCGGTTCTCCTAGTGACTGGTTGGGTAAGCGTGGCTTGGGGTGGGTGGGTCATGTGACTGTGTGGGCATGGCCAACTTGACATCACTCATGGCAAGGTGGGGCGGCACCTTGTTGTGAGTGACATAGAGTTGGCCATGCCTGCTCAGTCACATGACCAATGCTGCAGAGACAGGGCAATTTTCTACATACCTTTCCCCCCCCCCCCGCCCCCTGCCCTTGGGCTGACAAAATAAAAGCCCATCTAAAGATTGCGACTGCCTGCTGAACCTGCCTGCCTAATGCTGGCAAAAGGAAGCTAGGGGAAAAAAAAGAGGAGCCTGGGTTCCCTGCATGAGCGCTGGAAGTCCAGTACTCCTTCCCCACCCAGTCAGCCCACACTCCCCTCTCACTCCAGGCACTGATTCCCCCAGCGCTCCATGTGCGCAACCCCCCAAAATTTTAAAGAATTAGAGCTGTGGGAAGGGAAGTCACGCTCACTGTTTCCCTCTATGACCACCCTTGGAAAAGCCTGTCCTCACAATTGGACTCCCTTTCTTTCAGAGCTTGTTCAGGGAATCCTGGGAGCGGCAGAATGTTGCATGCTTTTCACTCCAAGCAGCCCGGACTGGAAAACACATGGCTGGGGTGGAGGAGCAGTCCTTCTTAACAAGCTCCAAACTGTTGCTGCTGCTCCAAGCCCAGCTCTGACTGCAGGCATGCGATTGTGAGGGTGGGCTTTTCCAAGGCCAGTCATAGCGGGAAACAGATGAGTGCGCCTTGCCTCCCCAAGGACAGTGGGGGAAGGGGCTCAGAATGGTATGTAGAAAATCTGTCTCTGCAGCATCCATTGCTTGCCAGCAGGCAGGCAACCCGGCTGGGCCTCAGGGACAGCGGGGAAGGCAGCGGGGAAGGCAGGCAAGCTGGCTGGGCCACGTGGGAGGCAGCTAGGCCGGGATTCAGGGCTTGCTGCTTGCAGGTTCACCCAGGCTGCCAGGCAGATCAGGGCAGGTCAGCTGGGCCGTGTGGAGAATGCCACATGGAATGCAGCCGTGGGCAGGCAAGCTGGCTGGCCCTCAGAGACCATGTGGTCGAGGCAAGTGAGGGAGCCAGACAGAGAGCAGCAGCAGCTATGCTGGGCAAGCGGACGAGATGAGTGACAGGGCAGGGTGGGGCAGGGCCAGCCAGTGGTCGGATTTCTCGGTTCTCCGAACTGCGCAAATTTGTAACTACCGATTCGCCTGAACTGGTCCAAACTGGCTGAATCCCACCACTGCCCATTTCTGAAATTGGTGTTGAGGCCTATTTCTGGACATTTGGTGTTGTGAGGCAATTGTGAAATTAACCTAATCTTTGATCTTCCTTCAACATTTAGATGAAAAGAATGGGCAGCAGCTTTATTTCCCAGGCACCCCAACCCACAGCTGCCAGTCATCTCACCGCTCTGAATCAGACATCCCAACTGAACAACATCGACATGGCTCCAAGGACAAGAAGCTTGTCTCCTCTAATGGGACTCAAGTCCAGCAACCACAAACTCTGTCCGCACAGCAGCCATGATATATGGAGCAGGAGAGCAGCACATGGGTGGGTGGGGGTGGGTGGGAAGCAGCTGAAAGAAGCCACTTCCAGCCCCTTGGAAATAGCTAAAGCCACCCCTAATGGACAGGAGGAGCCAACCAGCCCCATGGATGGGTCAAGGCCCACCAGGGATGCAAGGGACAGGGTGGGGAGGTGGATATTGGTCCAGATTTAATGACCCCACCTCACCCTGGGGCAGAAAGTGGCCATGTTGGGAGAGGCCCATACTGTGAACTTGTAAATAGCTAACAAAGAACAGAAAACAGAACAAATCCACAAAACAACAAGAGGTGGGCAGGAAAACACAACATGGAACCGAAAACAAAGACAATGGACTGAAGGGCAGGGGAGGAAAACACATGAGGAGATAAACCAGGCAGGAGCTGGTGGGGGTGAGGGATTTAAAGTGATTCCTTTAATGGGATAGTGACGGTCTTTATTTTCTTGAACCCTTTCAGAATCCCTCACTTTCTTGCCTTGAGACTTATTTTTCTCTCCCCTGCTTTTTCTTCTGTAGCATTTACAGTATCATGGTGGCATTAAGCTAAAATTATGAGACAGAGCTAGTAGGAAGATTTCCTGTGTAGGAGAGAAATTAAAAGTTTCCATTCCCGTTTCTTTATTCTTTTTTATTTATTTTTTCCATTTTATGTAACTTGTCAATGTTTTAAAAACATTTTCATGAGTTGCGGTGAAATTTTTTACCAGAATTCTAATAAACATTTTGTTACAAGACAAACTTCTAAAAAATTATCTCCTAAATCTGTATTTTTAAAAAAATGAGCCAAATCTAAATGTGGAATGTGGAATCAAAGTAGAAATTCAGGATCCAGAAATCCAGATTACATTGTGCTTGTACTATAGTTATAGCATTTTTACTGGCTGCTGGCATTTTGGAAATTTTGCTCAAAAGATAAATGGGAAAAGTAAGCAAGTAAATAAAGAAATAAAAATGCCGAATGCCAAGAATTACCTAAAGCTTCAATAATAAATACAGTACAGTTCTAAATCACAATTTTTGGAAAATCAGCAAATATAACCTGTGCATGGCCAGGAATAATCAATAGCATTAAAAATCAGCCATCTGAGTTTGCAAAACAATTGTAGCAGAGTGTAGTTATATTCTCCATTCTTAGTCCAACTTGGGTTCTGAACTAATGTGAATGCTCTTTATTCCAATTAAATGGATTTGGGGAACTTTCAGATTTGGTTTTTATTGTGCACTTCTCCTGCTTTGTATCACAGCTCTTTCAGGAGGTCATTAGCAGATTTTAAATTGTGTCTGTATTAAGGGCAAATGGCAGTGGTGGGGTTCAATTTTTTTTACTACCGGTTCTGTGGGCATGGCTTGGTGGGCATAGCAGGAAATCTCCAGTCAGAGGGGGTATTTGCCGGTTCTCTGAACTACTCAAAATTTCCGCTACCGATTCTCCAGAACTGGTCAGAACCTGCTGAATACCACCTCTGGCAAATGGCTATTTTAAGAGAGGATTTCCCCCCCCCTAGCTGTCCTTAAATTTATAAAAGAAACATGAGTATATTTCATAACATCCCATCCTATTCTGTTTTTGCCTATGTCCTTCTACTGATAAAATTAGGGTTTTTAAAAAGCATTTCTATAATCTCTGCTGGCTGGCAATATCTCAATGAATTGAATATACCCACTGATCTCAGCTTCTCATTGGCTCTGTCTCATTTAATTTTAGCAGCCCTGACAGAACTCATTAACTCTTAAATGGGCTATACACAATCCAACTCCTTTCCCAAGGCCTCTGTCCTTTTTGCAAAGGGCCCGTCCCTTCCCCGTCCCCATCCACACAAGGCAGTCCTGTGTAGGTGTGTCTGTCTAGGTATGTACGTGTGTGTGAGAGGGAGGGAGGGAGGGAGAGAGAATTTGAGAAGGAAATAAGCAATAGTGAGCAGAGAGTACTGTGTTATTGATTGAAGGTAGCAGGAATGGGGGAGTGTCATAAAATAGAGACAATTTGGATTACATGGTTGCAGTTTCCATCTTGACTTTTTTTTAAAAAAAAATTGACAAGCCTTTCCCTTGCCCAAGATGCCCCTGGAAGGCAGAGGAGTGTGGGGACACCAGGGCTAGGACCTGCCACCTCAACTTTGTCAACATTTGAACAAGGAGCATTAAACAACATTAGGACCTGCCACCTCAACGTTTGAATGAGGGGCAAACTTTGCAGAAATTAGTAACTGGGATGGAGAGATGGGAGCCAAATAACCCTAGGATTTCCTAAATCAATGGGCAGCAAGATATTCATCCTTGATCCTACAGCTTGGGGCTTTGAATTAGGGTAGGTTTTGGAAAGTCTCCAAAATCAAACCTGTTTCTTTTTCCTCCTTCCCATCCTGTTTGAGCTGATTCTTTCTCTCAGCTTGGGAGGGGAAGCACAAGTTGTGGGAAAAGGCGCATGTGGGTGTGCACATGAACTGGAGAGAATTAGATGTGATCTACATCCTTTCTGACCTGTTTCCTAGCTGGGTCTGTCCATCTCTTTTGTGAATCCATTCTTATTGTTTGTATACACACATGAAAATGCACACACATACCCATTTCCTCTTCCCTCTGATAGTCCAACCTTCTGATGTTCTGTCATCTGTTTTGAGTATGGATAAAATCATCAACAAGGTTTCTTCAAGGAAAGTGATTTTGGCTATCTTGGGGAAGTATCGGTGATACCGTTTCTATGTTATAAATAGATACATTCTGTAATCATTTTGCTAAGAAAAAGCTTGTACATCCATCATCGTAACAGAACCTGCAATTATTTCAGGTTTTCAGGGTATGGTCATCAAGAGATGGAGCTATCCAAATCAGAGGGGCATCTGAGTTGAGTTTTAGACACATATTCCAAACCAGGATATAAAATGTACAGGTA